GAAAAGTCAAATGATTTTTTGGCGTTGTTTTTTTCTTGAGAGAAGGATGGTGTCTCCATAGTAAGATTTTAATTGCTCTGTTGTATAATTCCGTGATTGTGTTTGGAATATCTTCAGCATTATTTATAAAGCATTCCTTTAGGGTCATACAGACGATCTAAGTGTTGACGGGGATATAACACAGGCTACGAAGCTTACTAGAATTATCAATGCAATTCAGAATCAGTTCATTGGTATTCTTATCATCAACACAAAACTTGTCGATATTATATTTGATCTGTTCTTCAAAAAAACCTACGATCTCCACATTTGGTCAAATTTTAGTTCATGAAATGCATGTTGGTGTGGGTCGTGATGTTATAACAACAGTGGCACCAGGCAACAGTTTACGTATAAACAACAAATTTAATATTGTAAATGCTGGCATTTTCGCATTATGGAGGGAGCAATTACGTCTCATCTAATGCAAAAAAGCTAAGTGGCATAAAGAGGCCCTAATTGTTAAATTTCTCTGGGAGAATATCGTAATAACGATTTTGACCAAAGCTGCAGAGAGGAACTTATGGAGTTTTGGATGAAGCTTCCGTAGTCCACTTTTTCAAGCCTAATGTAACATTGGAAGATTACGCCACATCTACGTTTGTTCCTATGTGTCTGCGTAGATTTGATATGTAAAACGTGTCGATGTTAGATGGAACGAAGAAAATTGGGAATAGCCTGAAAGCCACTACTTGGAGTCTTCGCAGTGCAAGAGTGAGGCAATACGTTGCACCGAATAACCCCCTTCCAAAAAGCTGAAAAGTTTTTCTTCATGTTGAGTAAAGCAAGCAAGAGCTGTTTCAATTTCTCGCCCAGTGTGTCACTTCTATTGATTGAGAGCGCCAGGCAGATGCTATCCAGTGTTGTTTCAGCAAAATCAAAGTGCGCAGTGACGATACAGATGTTCAGGCTCTGACAGTATCTCTGCTCCATCAACTACAAGAGCTGACAGCTAATGATATTGAACTCTGGGTAGCACTTGAAACCTGCAAACATCTACGTACGTTGTATAGCAGCTCATGAAATAACTTAGGTTTTCGGTAGTGAAGATACCGGTGCTTTTCCCCGCTTTTCATACTTTCACTGGATGTGACACCGTTTCCTGTTTTTCGGTAAGGGCAAGAAAACTCCTTGGATACCTGGAATATTTATCCCAATGTTACTCCTGTTTTTCTAGCCATGAGCAATGCGCTTTTGGAAGTTTGTGATGAGTGGACATCATTTTTGGAGGGGTATACTGTGTTGTTGTATGACAGAGCGTAACAAAAAAAGGTCAATGAAGCCCTTAAGCAGTTTTTATTCGCTAGGGACAACAGTTTGACGCTCTTCCATCATCACGAGCAGCAATGGTCCAATATGTCAACTGTACAATCTAACCTGCTGGTTACGCATAGGTACAGGAGCTTGCGCAAATTCCTTTCCTTCCACGTCTGCAAGACTGAAGATAGATTTTAGATGGAAACAAGTATTGGCCCTTGAGGACAACATTACCAGAAATGATGAAGTTATGTCAGCATTTGGTCAAGTGTGGTGGCAAAAGTGTTTGTCATGGACGTTGTGAATGCTACAAGGTCAATTTGAGTTGTACAGCTCTTTGCAATTGTCCTGAGGATTGCGACAACAGATTATTTAATAAGGATTTGTCCATCATTCGGTAACAATTTCATGCTTTACTTTTTAAACAAGTTTTTAACCAATTGCTGAATACGTGCCTCTCTGTATACGTTGCTCAGATATACTGATACACGGGCACCATCAAAATATAGTGTTCCTATTGGATCACGTTCCTGAACACCATGCCTGGGCACTCAGTATCTGAACACACTATACTAAGCTTCACAAACGAAATCAAACAAATTTTGTATATTTAATGATTACTGATAAAATTCTTAAAATCAACTTTGCTATAATGGGAACAACAATCTTATTCTGCAACCTTCTTTTGCCGCACCCCCACCGCACTTTTCAAATCCCTCCGCGGTCTGGAGAGTTATGTTACAAAGAACATTTTCAAGATTCAAATGTTAACGATTAATGTTTAATAAGAAATACGGAAAACGTTTTTGTCATGTTTAGTCATGTTCTTTATGAAATTAAATATAACTCGGCAAACTGATTCTAGTTATTTCATAATTAATTTTTAATTGCGTGTAAGAAAAGAGTTATTAGACAGAAACCGAACGTCGTATATTATGAACTTTTGTCCAATTATTCTAGTCAGTGTCTGTTTTGTGATTACTAGAACTATTTGATTGCAATGGTTAATCTGAGCGATAATTTTTAAAAACAATTTGCTTTTTTACATATTTTTCGAAATTCCCTAGAATAATTTTGACCAATATTTTGACTTTCAGTTCAAGGTGGCTGCCATTTTAAGAACATCATTGAAGAAGCACTAAACACGCAATTTTGAGATAGCACTATATCAAAATTTTGATCATTACCACAAGAACTATCTTCATGCAAGTTTTAATGCTTTTAACTGAAAACGAACATATTTTCCACATATCTGCTGCACTATGCTTGAAAATTTATATTTTATATACACAATAAGTATATACATATTAAACAGGCATGGTAATTTTTTGTGTTTTGTTTGACAAACTATTTAGTAGTTGACATTGTTTAAGCTTTTAGGTTTTTATGTTTAAAGTTCTGACAATTTAAATGTCTGATGTATCCTTTAAGTTAAAGCTTATAATGTATAGCAAAGATAAAGCTTATAATTTTTTTTTGTTTTTTTTTATTTTAATTTTTTCGTGCAAATGGATACAAAAAATTGTAAATTTTAGTGCATTATCATAAAGTATGCTTACAATAAGACTCTATGAATGTTTGACTTTTCTGCAGTGCATATATTTTGAATTGTCTTGCTGAAGTCGATTGCAAAGCAAAAGCAATTTGATTCAACATTTCCATATCAGCAAGAGAGATACATTGCATACTGAAAGCTGGAATACAAATAACTGTCCTCTTATTCCATGTTAATGACTTTATAGTTCGTGCATATTTATTTTGTTATTTTCTGTCATATTGATTGTTCCTACAACACATCAGAAAAACCTTGTAAAAACTTTGAAATCAAAATACTGTAATGTAAAATGTCATAAAACATATAACATAAAAGCATTATAAATACTTTAAAATAAAAATAGAAGCAATATCCTTTTATGAGGACGATTAGAAAGAGTTATTTGATTTTATATTAGCACATCAGCGTGAGACAAACGATATTTAACGAAAGCTTGAATAAAAAAAATATTTAATATTCTTTTATTCTGTGTCAATGACATGTTGAAAAGAGTTTTAGCACATTTTTTTAACTTTGTCATTTCGTTTACACTAAAAACAAATTAAAATCATGATAAAAACTTTAAAATCAAGATACTATTATTCCTAATATCATAAAACATCTATAATATAACTATAATTAGCAAAAATCTAAATTCAGGAATCATAAATTCGACAAGGAAAATACATTTAGAGCGAGTATAAGCAAGGCCAATTTGCTGATCAATATTTCTATACTTCTATAAGTAGAACTGTAACTTCGAAATTAATTCGCTTCGTCAGCTATAAGTCATTTAATATCATCACAATGTTGAAATTAGGCTTTGGACGGAACGACTAATAAACAAAAATAGCAATTTATCTTCCTTAACCAACACATCACCACAAACTTACCTTGTTTTCTTAGATGAGAGCGATTTTTTTTGTGAGCAATCTGTTGTTGTTTGACTTTGTAACTGCGTTTGATTGATATACAATAACAGAATTACAGATTGCTACGGGTTATCTATAAAAGTATTTTTTACGGCATTGTAGAGCGACACTTAAATTTTTTCAAAGTGTATAAACGACTTACTAGATGATGAATAAGTTACATATATGATTACATTTATGCATCATAAACGCGCATGACAGTTAAGTGTATCTCGTCTTAAAAACCTTTTACTTTTTAAAGGCTTAAACTTAGAGATTTTAAAATAAAACGTTCTTAGAACTTAGCCATCATCTGTATCCTTTGAGTTAATAACAAGCAAATTATTTTGTGCCACAGAATTTGAATAATCTAAAGAATAGATTGTTATGTAAAGCAAAGATACGCTTATGATTTTGTTGTTGCCTATATATTTTATGACAATGATTTTCATCAAATTTACAAATAGCTACGAAAATTGTATATATCGCATGCATCTTTACAAAATGCTGGCTTAATACTATATGGCTCTTTAAGCATTTGACATTCTTTGCTCATATATAGGTATAGGAAGATTGATAATATTGGGAGGAGCTCATATTCAAATATGCACGTTATAATCCTTAGAGAGCCATCGACTTCAATGGAAATTAATAATTTTTACTATTTACATATGAATGTTAGCCCTTCTCTCAATCACAATGTAGGAATATACAGTAGGTCCACTTCGTGTGCAATTGGCTGCTGTTTATTTAATTACATTACTAGCTGCAGTTAGCCATTTCATCATTTCTATTGGTCAAAAAAAGCAATTGACTGACTTTCACTATGTTAATCGTATGGGTAATTGGGTAAAAAGGTATGCTTGGCAAGAAAAAATTCAATGGAGTGGCCCTACTGTATATTCACTATACTGTATCTCAATTATCGACTTTCTACACCCATACGGTCGTACGTTTTTTGAAGTCAAATGCAAATGATGAAGTTTTGTGATGAGCAGGTAGTAAAAAACTCACTTCTTAACTTTGCTCCTTTGTTATACCTGATAGAGTTTGTGGCAAGTATCTGACGTAATATTCCGTTTCTAAATTTTTAAAAAATCGGAGGACGCTTGTAAAAAGGTAATTATTGTCAGTGACTTTTAAATGAAGTCAAAATACAATTACAAGAAAATAACTTTTTCTTAAATAAACACTCAAATTGTGTGTTCGTATGATTGTTGTCGGAATTGTCATCAGGAAAAGGATTTTTTATAAAAGTATTCGTGTGTTTATGTTTATTATTTAAATTTCATTGGCTACTTAAAGATTTACAACATCATTTCAGTCTATCATTGTTTGTAACAATTTTTACTATTTACAGTAAATGTTATAAAATTAACAAAACAAACAAATGAAAATTGTGTATCTAAAAATCAAACAATACAATTACTTTACAAAATGAATTAAAATGAAGGTACGTTTCCATGAAATGAAAGTTCGAAAATGCGCATAAATTATTCGTTTACGTATAGTAAATATAAAAGTTATAATCTTTTAAGCAAGAGGTGGAATTGTACGAATTAAAATATAAGGGGCTTGCGCACCAACAGGCCATTTCGTTGTCTTTTTTGAGTTTATGTAACAAAAGATAGTCAATTTTTTTCCCATGAGACGCTTTTTCAGAGTTTTACTTATGCTTTTGCATGAGAGGAAATTATAAAGTAACAAATTATCATTTTCAGTCATTTTAGTTAGTCAAGAAAGCTTAATGAAACTCTTCGGTACTGCGTGCGCAAGCCAACTTTAAAATGAAATGCGTTCACTTCACTTGAATAAGAAAGCTCAAAATGTGCAAAGTTTTTATAAAAACTATGTAGAAATATACAGCTAAAAACCAGCTTGATAAAATTTCGATGAAAACTTATTCAAGTTCATTCTTGAAAAATTGAGATAGATACAAACTTACATTTTATCAAGCTTACAATTTACGCATGGCTGTCATGGCTATATTACTCATAAATTACATGTCGATAACAGGTATGCATCAGGAAAAGCTAAAGGGCCTTAAATTGAAGCCAGTCAGAGCCCAGTACACCACTGCAAACGAATCTTTTCTTAATCGACAATGGTTGGCCAAGATTAAGTACTAGGCCTTTCCGTTTGCAAACTACGTGTTTAGTGTTCAATCTTAAGTTTTCTGTAAGTTTACAGTTCTCACTTTTCAATGCTTCACTAAGATACATTGCGCCTTCGTCACCAATATTGTTATCATCAATGTCCAATTGAGTAAGTTTTCAATTCTCACTTTTAAAAGCTTCACTAAGATATTGAGCACCTTTATCACCTGTAGTGCTCTCACTTATTACCAACTTAGTAAGTTTACAATTCTTACTTTTCAATGCTTCACTAAGATATTTAGCACCTTCATCACCTATATCGTTATCATCAATGCCCAATTGAGTAAGTTTACAACTCTCACTTTTCAATGCTTCACTAAGATATTTAGCGCCTTCATCACCTATCTTGTTGTCATTAAGATACAATATAGTAAGTTTACAATTCTTACTTTTCAATGCTTCACTAAGATATTTAGCACCTTCATCACCTATATCGTTATCATCAATGCCCAATTGAGTAAGTTTACAACCCTCAGTTTTCAATGCTTCACTAAGATATTTAGCGCCTTCATCACCTATCTTGTTGTCATTAAGGTACAATATAGTAAGTTTACAATTCTCACTTTTCAATGCTTCACTAAGATATTTAGCACCTTCATCACCTATATCGTTTTCAAAAATATCCAATTCAGTAAGTTTACAATTCTCAATTTTCAAGGCTTCACTAAGATATTTAGCGCCTTCATCACCTATCTTGTTGTAATTAAGATTCAAATTAGTAAGTTTACAATTCTCACTTTTCAATGCTTCACTAAGATATTTAGCACCTTCATCACCTATCTTGTTGTCACTAAGATACAAGTTAGTAAGTTTACAACTCTCACTTTTCAATGCTTCACTAAGATATTTAGCGCCTTCATCACCTATCTTGTTGTCATGAATGACCATTTGAGTAAGTTTACAATTCTCACTTTTCAATGCTTCACTAAGATATTCAGCGCCTTCATCACCTATCTTGTTGCCATTAAGATACAATTCAGTAAGTTTACAATTCTCATATTTCAATGCTTCGATAAGATATTTAGCACCTTGATCACCTATATTGCTACCAAAAAGAAACAATTCAGTAAGTATACAATTGTCACTTTTCAAAGCTTCACTAAGATATTTAGCACCTTCATCACCTAAATCCTTGGCATCAATATATAAATCCGCAATTTTACAATTCTTAAATTTCAAAGCTTCATTAAGATATTTAGCACCCTCATTTTCTAGATTAATGCAGTTATTAGATGCAGTGAATGTAAAGTTACCACGTTTTAAAGTTTCGCTGAGATATTTCAAAAAATAATGACTAAAATCACATTTCTGAAAACGCAAAGAGAGTAATTCGTCGCCTGTCCAGTTTAATAAATACTTTTTCATTGCAAGGCAGATATGATTATCAATAAACTTACACGAAGAGAACACAACTTCATTTATGTGTTTGCATTCAGAAAGAAATTCGAAAAATGCTTTTGAATCAACAGGAGTAAAAGAAACATCTTCAATCTTCATTTCTCGAGAATAGTTCTTATTTAGTTGTGTACATGCTGACCTGATGACATCTTTGTCTTGCAACTCGTATAAGCACTTTACTCCCAGAAAACCAATTGCTTTATTGCCGTCATTGGAAAATAAATGTGAGATCCAAAATGTAAACCTGCAAATGTTAAATACAAAAGTTATTTATAAACCAATCGTTCATCAAAGACTTAATACTTGCGTACGTATTGTTGCATAATAAGCAATTAGCTAGCTGATGCAGATTATTTTCTCTGTGATCGAGCACTGCTAGAGAGGGTACATCTTATTTGAATTGCTTGGTAAGTAAAAAACTACACACTGTTTTAAATTAGATGAAGTATACTTACTTACAGTCATCAGCTTAATAGTGGAAAGTAAAAATTCTTCTATTTGCTTTAAAAGGCAAGTCGATCAAACTTAAATCAAGATATATTTACTAATTAAAGATTATTCGGTTTTTAACTCTTTCGTTTCTTTTTGCTACTGGAAAAAATTTGCGTCTTGTTTTTGTTTATTTTTTAGCTAGTGCGATGCGTTTTTCCGTTTCAACTAAAAAATCTTGTCAAATCAGGAGAAACGTAGAATGAATAAAGCATTTAAATTTTTTTAATTATATATTGTACATGTAATGTTTTGATGTGTTGTGCGTCATAGTGCATGTTGCAACATATTTAACTGAGAAACTTGTACGACAAAACACGTCGTTTCTTATCCAATTATTTAACCTTAAAAACAACTTAATCTATATATTTCACATATTACATAAATTCAAACATACTGCTTTCACAATACATCATCGTTTCTCTTAATTTGATTTGTTTCAATAAACGGGACAAACCAATTTCGCCATTTCTTCAAGCATGCTGGTATTTTATTTTTTTACATCGGCAAAGAAAATCCTAACTTTTAACATGTTCCGAAAGATGGATTTCTTCGGACTTTCCATACAGGGACACATCTTGGATTTTAAATACAGTAGGCAAATTTAAGACGTCAGACATATGACGTCATAAAATAGACACCATAACATATGAATTTGATAAAGTAAGACACATTATTTATGCAGGTTTACACTGTCCTGCTGACCTTAGCAGCTTATCTGAATATGTGTAAAAATATACTGGAATAATAAACACCTGATATTCAATTCTTCCATATACAAATAAAATATACAGTAAGTCGATATGGATAGCCGATAATATGAATACCTAATTGGAAAGGTTTAAACAACAATCCTTTTGCTACAACCGATTAACCAAAATCTTATCATTTGAAGAAAACAAAGAAGAACGAAGGCATGAACTATACTTTAATGTTTACATGAGTTAAGCAAGCAAAATCAATCCTGTAAAGTGAAATATCAAACATTACAACAAAATGGTTGCCGAAACTATGTACAGAAATAAGAAAAGCAATTTAGCCAGTCAAGTGATTATTTGATACAGATTGCTAACAATCAAGTAATTCTATTTTGCAGACTCCTTGCTTAACTGCTAAACCTCATGAAATGAACACATTTGTCTAAATCATCATATTACAAAGTTATGATCTAGCCTGTAATTGCATCATTCATACAAAATATTTATGATTGCATAACACTAATAAATGATACTATAAATATTACATATATTTACTTCAATGTAGGAGCCTTGTCTTGATCTTTAAGATCGTGATTTGCCACATACCTTTTACTTCCCCATAGTTCGGCTGAAAGCGTTGTGTGGCGTAAATAATACACAACAGATGTTATAAATTTTGCATTTTACGCTATAAATTAAGTAAAAGGCCTTAGCCTTTATATTTTCTTTAGATTGCAGCGTCAATGATAACAGCGTCAGCTTCAAAGTGCAAATTTAGTAAAAAAAGGCAGAAACTTTAATTTAAACAGACAGACCTCTTTTGAAACCGAGCGACATTTTCAAAACTGAAACAACACTCTGCAGAAAAGCATGAAGTTAGGCCTTATATAAATACACGCCAGCTTTATATAAAACTGCTGCGATTTCTTATAACAATCCAGCATCCAAACTGTGCATATGTAGTAGACGTAGTTAGTGTTCCTGTACTTCCTGTCCAGCAGGACTAAAAACTGTGTAAACAAATTTCATCGAGGACAATAACCTAAACTACACTTGAAAGAAAAATAAAGACCCTACCGTTGTTCAACATCTTCTATTGTTTTAGTATCTCTGACGCTGCTAGATCTCTTCTTGTCTCCAACTAAACCAGCAACAAACTCTATTACCAAATGCCATTTAGGATCAGACACATTATCATCCAAAAACTTTCCGATGTTTTGCCAATCGTCAACAATACACCATGCAGCGAAGAACTCTTGAAGAGTCAAATGAATAAAACAATAAAGATTGCGTCGTCTATCTGGTAATTGATGAAAGAAACCGCAATTTGCTCGATGTGGAAAATTCGGGAGACTTGGTTCTTCAAAAATCAAACTCTCTTTCGCAATGCCGTCTTTTGCAAGGCTTTTCATTATCTTCAGGTCATTGTCAAGTTTTTCCGGTAAATCTTTGACAAGATAATTCTTTGGTAGTAATATACTTTTAAAATCTGGATGGTGATTCCAAAGTAAGATTTTAACTGCTCTTTTGTACAATTCAGTTGTAGTTTTTGGAATATCTTTTGCGTCGTTTCTAAAGCATTCTTTCAGGGTCAGACAGACAATGTAAGCGTTGACGGGGATATAGCACAAGCTACGAAGTTCGATAGAGTTATCAATGCAGTTCAAGATCAGCTCGGCAGATTCCTTATCTTTACCACAAAACTTGTGAACATATTCTTTAATTTGATCTTCAAAAAACCCCAAGATCTCCACTGTCCTCTTAAATTTCAAAAGTTTAAATGCATATTCAGCGGTTGGTCGTGATGTTATTAGAACAGTGGCACCTGGCAACAGTTTACCTTGAATCAACATACTTAACACTGTAAATGCTGGCATTTTTTCTTTAGCAAACACTGGGCCATCAGTTTTAAGATTTTTTTCACCCAATGGAAGCTCATCAAAACCGTCAACGATAAGGACATTTTGTTTGGGAAATGACATTATCAATTCGTAATCGGGATATGGCAATCCATCAGCACACAACATTTCTTGAAGAGTAATGTCAACATTTTTAAAGGCACGACATCGGATCAAATGAACGTGCTTATCTCGCCAATATATATCTGTATTGTTTTTCCATTCATGCATAAGTTTTTTTGTTAACATTGTTTTACCAATTCCTGGCCTTCCAATGACTAAAATAGAACGTGGATACGATGTTTCTTTCTCACCCTGGATTGGCTTAAAAATTTCGGTCACCATTTTCAATTGCCTTGCATCATGTCCAACTTCTAGATGACATTGAAAGATTTCATGTCTTTTATATTTTGCTGGATAAGCATTCTTTAATTCTCTTTCTCCTTGCATAATGACATTGACATAAATCTCCTCAAACTTTAATGGACGGTATTCATCATCACCAAAGTCCTCATTTGTTTGAATGTCTTTGTTGCTGTCAAAATTTTCTTTTTGTTTTTCCAAAAATGTTTGAAATCTTTCACGTTTTCGTAACAAATAAACTTCACAAAATTCTCTTGATGTTGTAAATAACCTGTACTTCCAGGCTACAATCGTTAAATAAGACAGCTCTAAGATTGTCAGTATTATAAAAATGACATCAACAGACCCAACAACTTGAATTAACGTCTTACTTTTATCAGCGTTGAGATTTTGACAAGCAAGTAATATGACGTCGTATGAGGTGGGTATAGTGTGATTTAATGAGGTTGTTTCTTTCACTTTAGGATGCCATGAACAAAAGTAATCAATAGGAAAGTTGGCTGAGAAAAGTAATCCAACGAATATGGATAATATAATGAGGCGAACAACCAAATGGACGATGTAAATGTAAAATGTAGAAAATCGAAATGTAACGCTTTTAGATTTATAATTGTCTTCACCACGATAACCAACATGTAGAGGTTTACTTTCCCCATCATTGTTTGCTGGATCGGATTGACCATAATGCTCGACTCGACGTTTTACATAATATCCATAAACAATACTCCAAATTAAGACAATACCAATATTTAAGCACACCAGAAGAAAAATAACATATTTGAAATTTAGCCCATCTTTGTATTGTCTGAAACATCTTGATTCAATGGTTTTCATGAGAGAATTGTCATTGTTTTTTGATAATTTCTCATTATAACAATTAAAAGAGAGATCATTATATAAATTTAATGAAATACCAGAGACGATGAAGCCAAATACACCAAAGGCAATAAGTATTATTCTTCCAACCCAGTTAAAACTGCTCCATGGTATGTATTCAAGACACTTCTCGATCATTTTCGTATCCTTTAACGAATTGAACATGAATCAACACAAGTCTAAAAATCATTATATATTCAGCGCTTAGCGAATCATCAAAAGCATTTTTGCTGAACGGTTGAAAGGAAAGAATTTTTTAAATATCCTCTTCTCATAAGTGAATGATGTGATAAAAAAAGAAAATCAACAATTTAAGAACTTAAACTCGCTAAGCGAATACGTTAAATAAGACCAAAAACAAATTTTTGCAAATTTCGTCAAGACAAAAAAGAAAATCATAAGGTGACCCATATAAGTCATAGATAGAAACGTAAGAGTAATTTACAACAGCAAAACAAAAGTCCACACCACAAACCTAACAATCACGATGCCATTTTGAAATTTGAGTGCAAAATATTAGAATATGGTGGTTTCCTCTTTGTGCTCTTAACACTTATTGTCTTAATAGTTAGAAGTTTTTTTTCGATTTTCGAAAAATTCATAAAGATACACGAAATAAAACACCAAGCGATAGTTGAAAATTTCACTTCTCCCAAGATAAATAAGTTCGATGATTTTAAAAGTCAAGATCTAAAAAACTAATATTGGCTGTTGAGCCAAAACTGCCTTTTCTTTTGATAACACAGCGTTTCTGCATGACTCTGTTTTCATTCATTCTAGCTAATGTACTTTTTAAACATAGATTTATTCGTTGTTACAAACTCTGAACTGCTGGTTTGTGATAGTGAATGATAATTAAGTTGTTGTTAAAAAAAAGGAACTTCCCTTCAAGTTTTCTGGTTCATACAGAACGAAATTTTGCTCCAAGCCTTACCAAATTTATTCACGATAATGTCGGCTGGAAATAATTTTTGAGCCGTTTGTCATTCATTGCACAGTAGCTTAAACAATGCTTTTCTTTAACGTTAGCAATGTGGTCAAGCATTTTAAAGATTTTGCAAGGCTCAGGTTCAGAATGCGAAAAGCATTGGTATTGGTTGTACAACCGGATCTGCCAAGCATAAAGCTAACGTTTTTATCTAAAGCTACAGTCATACACTATATACGTAGTGGAAAAGTTGATCTTTACGTCATAACATAACCAACAACTTTGTTTGGATTCACCAGTATACAGATAGCTACTGCCAGAGTATTTTAGCAAATAATGATAGATAAATTAAATAATGCTTACTATATATACAGAGTGTTTATTGTCTTGTGTTTTAATAAGATAGCCATATGTTCACATGATTTGGTGCTTGACATAGTAAAACTTAAAGCTACAAAAACGCCTGCAGATATTAAACGACAGATGAATATCAGTATTAAAAGTTTTGGCATCATAGGATATCATAACCAAAAATTTACACCATTGAGCAATGCGTATTATCATAGAATACTTCTAGCTTACTACAGTATTCTTTAAATGTTTGCTAATTTCTGTATTACATGTATATTGAAATGTTTTAATAAAGTCGATTGCATATCAAAGCAATTTTTTCTATATTGGCAAATCAACAAAAGCATTTTTAATGAACGTTTGAGTGGAAAGAATTTTTAAATGTCCCTTTTCTTACGTGAATGGCATGATAAAATGTGAAAATCAACATTTTAATGGCCTAAATTCATTAAGCAAACACGTTAATTAAGACAAAAAATAAATTTTCGCAAATTTTCTCACGAGAAACAAGAAAAACATAATGTGGCTCATGTCATAGACACGTAATACTAGTAAATTTACAACAACAAAACAAAGCTTTACACCACAAACCTAACAATCACGATGCTATTATGAAATTCGCACAATAAATACAGAATTCACAAATCACATAAATTTTCTAGTCCACTCACCGTGTTCTCAAACTTGTACATTCCGCATTTTGCTTCATATGTTTATCGAGTACAATACATTAAAATATGGCGGTTTCCTCATTGTACTCTTAACAGTTATTAGAGAGTTTTAGTTTGGCGTTTACAGCAAACTGTAAACCTAAAGATACCTGCTTGCCGTTTCAACTTGGGATTTAGTTGGGCGTTTTACATTTGTATTTTACAATTCGCATTGTCATGAGCTAAATTTCATGTTGTGTTAAACGTTTTCCCATAAAAACAGCATGTTCATAATGTATGCTTACATGAAATAATTATATTGAGCCATAAACGTCACTTGGTAGTACTTAAAGTATTAAAAACCTTTCGGTACAACATTTATCGCAAGAAGAGCATCTTGCCGTCAAAACCTGAACTGCTAACTGCGACGTAAGCAACAAAGCCCTGATCACGTGATATTTTGCGGTTTGCCGTTCGCCGTTCGACGACAACTCTGGAGTGTCTGTCTAAAAGTTTTTTTTCATTTTCAAAAAATTCATAAAGATAAACGAAATAAAACAAAAAGCGATGTTTGAAAATTCCACTTCAAGCAAGTGGATTGGATATTAGAAGTTTAAGCAGTTGAAAAGCAAGAGGCGACCTAATTCAGATGTGACAAAAGAAACGAGTTGAGCCGTCACGAATAAGTCACAGTAAATGTGAGCATTATAAAATTTGATGACCTGGACATGAAAGACAGAGAAAAAATTTTTCATTCAGCATTAGCCAAATTAGAAGCACATTAAAAAGAAAAAACGAAAACTTTGGAGGATTAAAAACTACTGTATCCAGCTGACACGGCGCTTACCTGATACTGTCACATTCAGATATGACAGTATTCAATTTGCTTCATGAGTTTAGCACAAATCATTTGCACGATATGCACGGACACCGTAACCAGGCTAATTGGGGGGTGGGCTATATATTCATTTACGTGCGTTTTACTATTAGTTTTTTATGAAATCAATTGTGATTAGGGATTATAACGTATAAATATATGAATATCTGCTTCCCACCCTCATGTTCCGGCGTCACTTATATGAGTACAAAAAAAGGGTATAAAAATCCTCTCATAACGTTTTAGCTTGCTTTGAAAAGGTTTAACAGTTGCCAACCAAAGTTAAGCAAGATCGAGCAAAGGAAAACCTGTTACGTTTTCAACTGATGTGCCTAGTACATCTATCGTTTACTCAAGTACAACCAAGAGAAAAAACTCTGATCTGCCTTCCACACTATATTTGCAGTGTTATCCAAAAGAATTAAGAAATACACTGGGTTAAGACTGTGACAGGATTTATCAAAGCAAATAGATGAATGCAACATTACAAATTTAAATGTTATCCGCACAAACCTCTTTAACAGTGCTAAAAGAGCGCTACTTCGTAAAAGATTTCATTCAGCAAAGCTATATAACGTTGCTATCTGTTAAACTCATGGATGATGTGGGTTTATCGGCTAGAGCCGTTACTTGAATTGGCTCCAAGAGAGAATTTTTTACTTGTCTTTTACAAAATAAACTATATGAGTCATTTTCTTGCTTGACAGGTTGAAAGATATCTTTTATGTAGTGAATGAAAAACTATTAGAGAACGAAGAGTAAATATTAGTTGCACTTTCCCTTGCAAATAAGTTCCAATAAGTATCTGGGACCGTCTTTTTTCTTTTGTATAGCTTCTAACTAATTTGATATTAACTTTATTATAGCTTAATTACAACACTTTTTAGCAAGGTTTCGATGTCGAAAACGATATATCAATATTGTGACATCTGCACAACATAAGAACAATACAAGAAAAAGAATAGCTGAAAAAGAAATACTTCTTAATAACTTTTTTCTTAGTCATTGCCTCATTGACTCTGCAACTCGGGCAGAAAGTAAAATTTGTTTCTATAATTGTTCCGGCCACTCATCACACAATAGTCTAGAACCGGTATAAGAGTTTGTATGCATTTTATTTAACGGAAGTTATCTTAACTGTTTTTAGGTTTAAATTACCATGACAAACAACATATGTGCCATTTGCTCAATCTGGGACGAAAGTCCTGAAATTGAGACCCCCTGAAACTGCAGTGTCGACATAGTTCTAACTTCCAAATTTACAAAAGTTTAATAATTACTGAGAAAATTACCATACACCAGCTATGGTCAAATGCCAATTTTGAATAAATTAACAAATATTCTTGGCAGCGATTGAATTTTCATATTTTCAAAGAAAAAATCATATAGTTTGAAACACCACACTCGACTCATTCTAATTGTTCGTTATTTCAAGCATTTGACTTGTTTTTGCTGGCATACGATAGAATATATTTCGCATACATATTGCAGATAATGTTAACGCTGTGTTTGGTTCAATTGTACATTCAACTACGTAGGGGATGACAGGGAACAATACAGAAAACATAGATGGAACGGAAGTAGAGAGAGGAGAAAATGGAAGCGAGAATGGCGAGATAGGCGAGATACTATTGGGAGTGAGAATAAAATTGTTTAAGAAACGCAAAGTTGTGATTGTGATTATTCTTAGTGTTCCGAAGACATTGGGACAGAGGTCAATTTTCGGAATACGTGGCACCTACCGACGAAGGATTGTTATTGTGATAAATTGTGAAAATTTCGTACTAGATTTTACGCGTCCCAAACAAACATGGCAAACGACGAAGCAAAACTCAATATAAAATTAACTCAACTGAAGTTATCTGCTCAAAGAACAGCTAAAATATTAGATTTAGAAAAGCGAGAAACTATCGAGCGACAACTAAACGTACTAAAAACAACTATTAACGAAGCTGACAATTTTAAAAGAGCTGTGGAAGCAGCAAAAATCGAAAGAGAAGACGACCTTGAAGAAATCAGCAATTGTAATTCGGAAATCAAAACAAAAATAAGTGAAGCCGAAGACGAAATAAACCAGCTACAACACTGACTGAACGATAGAAAATTTTAAAATTTAAAGTCCGGGGACTCAAAAATAAGTGACGAAGGTATG